TTTTTTTTTATAGATGCATGATGTCTTTACCTATCATTTGGTATATATTTTTTTTATATCTGACCCTTTACCTGCCCACAGGGGGGGATTTAAAATGACCACTTTTTCACAAAAAATTTACTTTTTTAATTTAAATTTTGAAAGTGTTCCGGAAATTCTGACACTTTTATATATATATTAAATTAAAGCTAATGTAATTTACTTTATTATGCGAAAAAAAAATTTCGGACTTTATTTTATCTTCACGGTGAAAATGGCTACCGAATGCTATTATTGTGTGAAAATTCTCGATTTTATTTTTTACATTTTTAACTTTATAATGCTATGACATATTGAAAAGTGTATGGATCAACATTATTTTTTTATGAGAAATAATATTTTTTAATAATCCCTTTTTCATTCTACATACTTTATCTTAATTAGGATATTAATAATGAACTAGCAGATAATGTAGCTTTTGGAATAGTCCACCAATTTTTTAAAATTAAACACTATCTAAAGATTTGCATCGAAGCGTTTTTTTTTGATAGTGATTTTAATCACTGTCAGATATCATTATACTTAATCCATCTATACCACGTCACCACTGTGCCGCGACCCCCCTGTGCTGGGTTTTTACGTTTTAATTATAATAAAAAAAAATAAAAACTTTTGTAATAACTAATTATTTTATTCTAAATGCAATGTTTATTAGGTTAATGTTAACGTTAAATATACCAACCAAAAAATATTGAGCGTTCGTTTATTAAATTTTTAATATCCCGCTCGCCCTACAATGGCAAATAAAGGAGCATTATCGTCATGCTATTGGTCTCGACTGTTTTTGTTTGACCCAACGAATATGCGCTGAAAAATAATTTATTTTAACACTCCCTCGATATATAAGTTCTATGGATTCTAAGTTTCAAAGAAATTTTTTTGGTGTAAAAACAATCTTATTGGTATTTGATTTGTTATACTTTGTCGGACACGGCCGAAAAAATCCTTTTTAACACGCTTCTATTAGTTTCACGTGTATGTTGTTTGTTGTTTGTTTGTAAGTTTGTAACTCTCCAAACGCCACGCGTTATCGCATATTCCGTTGTCTAGACTAGACTGTTATACGCATTCACCCCTCCCCACGCCTCGCTCACAATACGACGGTACACTATTCCTATAAAAATTTATTTTTAGTTATCGTACCCGTACACGCGTGCTTGTCATCAATATTATATATATGTAAACAAATTTTTATTTTGACTGACCAATAACGCCCGCGTCTAATGCGCCTTACGTATATATATATATATTCCTACCGCCGTTTATACCTCGGGTATAACGTTAGTCCGACCCGCCCGGCCATAAAACACAGCTATACTTAGTGCATGATACTTTTACGTAGTTAAGTCGCATTATTTGTATAAATATATATATTCTAATTACTATTAAAATTAATATATTAACACGATTTATTCTAATTAAGAGATATAAAGTATTCATTCCGATTACGAGGGATGATTTCCGTATCGTCATTTTTCGTCACTACCTCCACGTTCCGGGAGTGAGTAATTTACGCGCCTGCTGCTTTCCTTGGATGTGGTAGCCGTTTCTCAGACTCCCTCCCCAGAATCGAACCCTGATTTCCCGTTACCCGTAACAACCATGATATTGATAGTAACTACTATCATAACATGAAACTAAAAAGTAAAAAATAAATATAGTTTAAAAAACTAAAAAAACACGCTTTTAAAGTACATCGAACTAAAAAGTTAAAAATAATTTTTAAAATAATTATGAACAAAAAATACTAGTATTATTGTGATAAAAGCGTGGGTGCTTTGTGCCATATTTTTCGTATATTGAGCGCCCGACGCTTTTATCACAATAATACTAGTATTTTTTGTNATCTCAATAACCTGTATTTGTCACTCATCAGTTTTTTGATATTAACCACAAAAATTTAAGGACGGTGTATTAGTTAGGAAAAACTATTAAAACTATATCACAAAAAAAATTATCTTTATTTTCTTTAAATAAATATGATTATTCTGAATTTTGGGGGACTAACTCTTATAAAAAAAAACTATGCCTGTATCGAGAGTAAAAAGGGTGTTCTCAGAATTTTGTCTTTGGAAAATATACATAAAAACACTTTTTTTTTTATTTAAGAACTGAGAAACTATAGTTATTGGTTCATAGTAATTAACAAGTTTTATAACAATTAGATATCTACAAAATAATTTACAAATGTAAGTATTTATGTATAAATAATTTTAAAATTCAAAAAGTTAGATTTTTTTATACTATTTAGTTTGATTTAAAGAAGAAATAACTTTTTCGATGACTTCATGGATCGGTTTTAGTAATTCGTACAGATTTTCAGGAAAATGACGTTGTTTCTGATGTTTTTATATTTTCTACAACGAATCATGGTATGTTTCGCAGTAATGTCTTCTCCATAGGTGATACATTGTTCTGGCTCATCTTTTCGTATGAGGTGCCCACGAACAAGCATAATGTGCCCTATTCTAAACCGACTTATCACTACTTCATGATGTCTATTCGGAGATCAAGGAAATATATAAAAACATTTTTATACTCCCTCCAAAATATAGTATTTAAATATAATTATTTTCGTCGTGAGGGAGTTCTATTACCCATCACCGACAACTGCGAGAATACTTATTGTCGATAGTCAACATTTTTTTAATTTGAGTACTATATATATAGTAAGGTATAATAAGAAAATAGTCAGAATTTAAAACTTTTTGTTTTACAGTGTTTTCGAGTGTTGCTTTTGTTCAAAGATGATTCTCGTTTGAATGACTTTCAGCTTTGGTAAGATTTAATCGATCTTGATTAGGAAATAGTGTCGGTCTGAAAGCTTGGAGATGATTCCAGAGGCAATTTTCCTTAATGACCTTTCAGAAAATTTTCTCAGCGAGAAAAAATAATCTTAAATTTAATGAGGGCTTCCTGAGCCAGGCCGACACTGCGAAAAGATGATTATTTTGCCAATGTTTTCATCTCGTTAGCTTAACGTGTATCCCCGTAAATACAAATGTATTGTTCTATAAATACAAAATGAAGTTTTTTTAAAAATTTAAATTCATTTTATATGTATTTTTTGAATATGTAAGCATATTCCTAAAAAATAATATCACGTTCACTAAATTTTTTAATTTTATTTATCGTATAAACAACTAACAAAACTTCAGGTAATCCTCACACAAATGAAAATAACTCAACCATTTTTTACTAAATCGACTGCATATTTTCAATTTGACTTAGTTAAGTTTAAAACTAATTATATTAACAGAAGAGTAGTAAATTTATGATTAATCATAAACTATTGTCGACTGTTAACTTATAACTGTCTTGTGTTTACTTAAATTGACTAGAGCGTAGGAGTATTGCAACAAAATATTTGGGAACTCTAATTTACATAATTTTTTACCTAATCAGAAAAATATTTCTATACAACAAAATATACAAATTAATTCATTTTCGCGGTATATTTTATCGTAGAAATTTAGGAGACTAAGCCCCCCCAAGTCTCTTCAGATTGCGGTCAATCAAAAGTTCGAATCCAAACTGGACTTAATTAATTTTGTTGTTCACCTTTAAACAATGAAATGATATTAAATCATATTTTTGTTTGATTTTATACGAGACTAACTAATTGGAATGACAGTTTTAGAGAATGGGATACCGAACACTTTTATAAAACATCTGTTTAATGACGAATCCTATTCATCAGTGAAATGCATTCCTTTTTTTTTTTACCAATTAATAAATGAAAAAATTACAACTAATTAAATGTTATAATAATGGGCACTAATAAGGAGAAGCAAAAAAGATTTTAAGTCTGAAATTTGGAATCGCGCTCTTCTTTCCCCTCCAAAAAAAAAACTTTTTAAGGGCTTACATTGGTGTAAACCCCAGTCATATAATCAATTATATGACTGGGGTTGTTTTAGTTTAATAAAGCCTCCTTCCTTGCCTTAATGTACCTATTGTATCGAAAGTTGGATGCAATTCGAGGGTCTTTATTGTTATTCGTTAATAGACAGTAATCAATTATAATGCTTTTTTATTATATGAATTAATATTTACTAATTAGCGATAAAGGTTATAGCAAATTTTTCCATCAGATAATATATTGCTACAATATTCATCTATTCCGAAATTTCATAATTTTTTAATCGATTTCACGAATAATCCGATATTTGGAGCAATCAATTAATTGTCCTATTCGGAGTAATCATCATCGTCGTAGTAAAATCCAAATTGTTGTAACTAGGTATTCGTTGTAATTGTTGTGGGAGTAAATGTATTCGAAGGATTTTTTTACAATATCGGAGTATATGAATGTCGGAGGATTATCATTTCGTGGCAATTCCCATAACCCATACAAAAGTATGGTAAATCGTTTCATGAAATAATAAAATTAACCATTATGGGTTAAACAATTTTTTATGTCAATGTGTGACCACACTGTAGTGTATTGATAATCAGTGTAAAATAATGATAAAATGAAAACAATATACTGATTACTAAACATAACATTTTAGAATTTTTTGTGTAATGTATTAGAGTTAATTATTATTTTTTTTGTATACTTTAATTTTATTAAGTTACCTAATTTTTGTATTTCATTTTGAATACATAGTCTATTGATTATCCTAATTTATCTTATTCATGACGCGTCATTACCTAAACTTAGGTAGTTTTTATTTTATTAGACTAATATTTTACCAAATAATTAATTTTATATAATTTTTGACTAAACAGTTGATCAATTAAGATAATGGCAAGTGTTAGAGACAGTGATATTTCACTGTGGCTTCACAATAAATTAGGAACAACTAATGATACTTGGATTAGTGGTTCAATATGTACGCAGCTAACATCTGATGTATTGCGTAACATTAAGGATTGTTTCCCAGACTTACAAACACAAGTAAAACTCAAACTATTGCTCTCCTTTTTTCACATTCCACGAAGAAATATTTCAGAAGTAATATTTGTATTCATAAAAGATTATTATTAATTAATTAATTTATTTATTCATTATTTGTATAGTGGCGAATAGAATTGGAAGAAATTTTAGAGATTGCTTGTGTTGATAGTGAACAATGGGTTTCAATGTTGGCTGAAATGATGAAAACATTCCCGTCAACTGGTAATCTTAATGTTACAGAATTCTTTCACAATGAAGACAATAATAGAATATTTAACGAGTTAATCAGTGATTTGAAAAAATTAGGTATGATTAGTATTTAAACATATAAAATATTTTTGTGTATTTATTTAAACCTTAATTACAGTTAGAAAAAATATGGATTATACCATGTTGCCATTAGAATGTCTGTATTTAAACAAAAATGCTTTAATAAATGTAGTTGGTCAACCAGTAAGTGATATTTATTTTAGTTTAAATAGTACACAATTAAATATAAGAAATGAACTTACTATATTTTATAGCCTACGTCTGTAAAACATTTTAATTTAAAAAGAAAACCTAAGGCCGCTGCAATAAAAGCTGAATTGTTACAAAAAGCTACAGATGCAGCTAGTAATATTAAAAAACATACTGCTCCTGCTGTCCCAGTACGATCTCGAGGCATGCCTCGAAAAATGACTGATACCAGTAATTTTTCATTTTGATTTTATTTAAGATACAAAAGAATGTATATCTCAAAATTTTTTTTTGTATTTTGCTTTTCCTTTTCTTCTTCTTCTTCCTCGCCTTAATCCCAACTACTTGAGATCTGTCACCCTTATCCTAAACTTCCACTTGACATGATCTCCCACATCATCTACGCTCACATCAGCTGTCCTCATATCGCATTCAATAACATCTCTCCATCTCTTTTATGGTCTTCCTCTATCTCTTCTTCCTTCAACATTCGTTTCTACAACTGTTCTTACAGCTTCTGATTCTTCTCTCCTCATAACATCACCAAACCATTTAAGTCTATTTTCTCTCATTTTATCCATGATTGACGCTACACCTATACTCCCTCTTATATGCTCGTTCCTTATTCTATCTTTTCTAATCACTCCACTCATCCATCTAACCATTCTCATCTCTGCTACACTTATTCTCTGCTCTACTTTCTAATCAACCACCCAACACTCTGAACCATACATAATCACAGCCTCCCAAATCTCTTTCCCACTAATTAAATCTACCAGTCCCTTATTCTACAAGATATCCTCTAATGTCTCTTTTGGGTACTCCTCATTCAATAATTTTTCAAAATACTCTTTTCACCTTTTTTTCACATCATCATCACTCAAGAGTACCTTATTATCAACACTTTTTATACACCTTATATAATGATAATCTTTAGACCTTTTCTCTCTTACCTTTGCTTTTTCTACTTATTATAAATTAATTTACTAAGAAATATCAGAATATAAAAAAAAATTTTTTTGGACTTATGTTCTTTTGTAAATAGACGACTCACATACTGACTCAGTTTTATCAATATTTTATTTAATAATTTTTATGTATATTATAGCTCCCTTAAAAGGTATCCCAAGTCGTTCATTACCAAGTGGTGGTTTCCGCTCAAATCCATTAAATAATACTCTTACAACGCCGTCAAGACCAGGGGTACGCAAAGATTGTGGTATCAAAATATTAGAAATTACGGAACAGCCTATTGGTTATGCCCAAGCTAAAAAACGAAAGAGAGCAGGTGAGTTGCATAACATTTTATATTCTATGAATCAATAATTTCTATAGTAAAATTATTATATTATTTATATATAATATGTTATATCTTTTAAGTTTAACAACAACAATATCAACATTTTAAAATAAGTATTACACTAAAAAATTTTCTCAAATATTTTTAGAAATGGAGGAAAGTAAACGTCTATTAGAAGCTAATAATGTTTCTACTTCAGGAACACAATTGTCAAATTCCAAAACAGAAGTAACATCCACTACTCCTGATTATGCTGCTGGATTAGCTCCTCTGAATCCACCTACTCCTGCACCACCAACCCCCCAACATGTACCTAGCTATATAGCTCCAGCTACACCTCTTCCTACTGAACCTATTAACAATGAATCACAAAGTATGTACTATATATTTTTAATTTTATGTATTAGTATTTTGACCAAAATAGCTTTATTTTAAGAGGCGTTATTATCTTTTTATGCTAAGAAGATTAGTTTGGTAGCTTTTATTTTTTATATTATACTGTTTTTTATGGCCAACCCAAGTACTTGGGATTAAGGTGAAGAAAAAAAAGAATACTGTTATTTATAGAGTTAATTGAACTAAACAAAATTTAATTAATATTAAAAAATATATAAACAATTGGTTTGAAAAAAAGATTTTTTACTGTTGAATATCATAAAATTTAATATTTTATATGTTACAGATATTCTTAGTACTCCTCAACCAGTCACTGAATCTCCACCTGCTTCAATTTCATCTAAAGTTATTCATGTAAGTAATTTTTGTATTCCTTTACATTAGATTGGCTATATGGCTTAAGACTTAAAAAGTTAAAAGAAAATAGTTGTAAAATAAGTTGTTTGCCCTAATAAGTACTTGGTAGTACCTAGACAATCTAAAATGTTAATCATGACCCCTGGCCTACTGTTGGGTGATCTTAATAGCATGACTAGACATCAAATAAGCACTTTGACTGGTCTACTGATAGAACATGGTCTCCTGTTTAAACACCTTAACGCAATGGGGGTATCGGACTCATTTTTGTACAGGAAGTGTGGAGTAGAAGAGGAAGACTCATTTCACATTATCTGCAAATGTGAAGCCAAGTCCACACTAAGATCAAACTACTTGAGTAAACCTTTTCTTGAAAAAGAACATATTAAAAACCTAAAACCTAGAGAGATACTTAATTTCGGCGGAATAACAGGACTCTTTGGTCATCTATAGGGGTGACTTTATGGTCCACCCTTATACAATGATTGGCATAATGTATTAACACTTCGGTGATAACACATAGGTGGGTAATCAAGACAATTCAGTATGAGGTGCACACAATGGACCAACAGGTCTTAGTTCATGCGTATTATGTCAACCTCGATAAAAACTAAAAGCTATTTGCTCTAATACTTTTTCAATGTTTTTAGTTCAAGAGCACAATGTAACATAGTTAAATTATATTCTAAAAGAAAGGCTTATGTTTGGATTTTACATAATCTTGTAATAAGGATATTTTTAAAAAATTATACCAAAAATATTAGTTATTTAAATATTTACTGCTTTGAACTGTATATGGGAGGAATTTAGTTATTATTATTATTAGTTAAAATTATTTTGAGTAAACTTTTTAGTGATTATTGAAACTGACAAATCTAAATACTGAATTATTACTTAGTGATTTTTTTCGAAGTAAACACATGATTATATTTATGTTTTTAGATTCTATGTAAGAAAGAAAAGGTATTAGTATTAACATTATATGTATTTTTTTACATTCTTATTTTTTCTTAAGTTTAAAAGGTCTTATGGTTTTATATAGTTTTATTGTAGCCCAATGGTTGACATATAAAGCTTTATAAAATCTTTGTTTTAAATGAATAACCCATAATAAATTTATGATGTTATTTAAATTAGGAAAATGCAAAAATTATTTTTATTATTGTCTCATAATTTGATAAGTGTGACCGGTATATAATATAATAAGGTCTACAGTTTATAGTGTTTCTATTAATCAGTAGTGATTATCAATATACAACATGTTAATTTTGTAGTCATTTAAAACTAGGTAAACTTTTTTTCTGATCAACTATTAACTTTAAACAGCTGTAACTAATTGAAAATTAAATAATATAAAACAATCATTTTTTTTAATTGAATAAATCTGATGATATAAAAAAAAATTGGGGTTGTCATTTGAAAATTATGACTAATAATTATTATAATTTTATTGCTGCAATTTTTTTTTTAACAATATTTACATCCTTAGAATATTTTAAAAGCATATTTTTTAATAAAAATATTTTTTTTATTTAAAAAAGCCATTTTTTATAAAAACTTTGGAACAAGTATTTATTAAGTAGAATTTATACTGTCGTATATTTATAATGTATTCTCTGTCTATTCTACATGCTTACTTTATATATTAAAATGTACATGGTGTATAATAACTAGTATAATTTTTTAGAATTGAGAAAAAGTATATTGCATATTTGAAATGATCATCAACATGAAATATATAACTTCCTTTTGGAGTATTGATATTAAAGTTATCCCTCTTAAAAAGAAATATTATTTATATTAGAATATTAAATCTTATAAAAAGTAAATTATTTTTTATCTTTATAAATTATATCAAAAATTTATATCTAAATATATTTTATTACCATAAATTGCACTATAAATATGTGTAAAAAACAGTTCATTTTTCTATAGAAAATTGGAATTAGAATCTAAATAATTATTTTTTGAGTTAAACCAACCTAGTTCATAAATTATAAAATTATATAAATCATGAAATTATTTTTAAGTATAAAAGTATTTATAATTTTCAATAAAATTAGTACTCAAGAATGATTTAATTTTTAATATTGTGTTCTATGAATTTTAATAATATTTTTCTTATCCAATATGATATTTTGATTCTTAAATAAATTAATTAAAAGTTACCCGGGTTTACACAAATTTTAATTACAAACTCAAACTTGAGAATGGTATACAAGTTAAAGAAAAACAATTTTTTCAATTTTTTACTTTAAAAAATTATTATACTAATAAAGTTTTATGCATGTTGTTCAAAATGGTTAACCTGTAAAAATTCTATAGATTTTTATGTGAAAATTGTTAATGTAATAATAGTAATTGTTGTTATTTTAAGTTAATTATATTTGTATTTTTTAGCCTCCTATGGTTCAAATGCAAGTACGTTCCCAAACTGCTCAAGTTGGTTCATCAACAGCAGCAACTAATACTGCTCCAACACAATTATCTTTAACTGTATGAATTATTTTATTATTTTTAAATAATTAATTATTTATCAAGAAATACTTTCTTATTTTCAGAGGAGCCAAATGGAGGAAGCTCAAGATATGTTCCGAAATGCGAATAAAGTAACACGTCCTGAAAAAGCTTTAATCTTAGGTTTTATGGCTGGTAGTCGGGGTAAGTTATTAAATAATTATCTATTATTTTCTTTTTATTTAAGTTATAATATAGTACTCTTAAGTTGCATGAATAATATTAATAATAATAATAAATGTTCTGCAATAACTAGATTATGTACATTTTATCACTATGTGATGTTTTAAACCATAATATAAGTTTATTCATATAATTAATATTAATATTATTTACTATTTTCAGATAATCCATGTCCTCAGTTAGGTAGCTTAGTAACTGTTAAATTAAGCGAAGATCACGAAACAGTACTTCAGAATGATCATACATTAGTTAATATGCTAGTTGAAACACATTTCCAAATGAATTATAATACTGGTGAATGGAAAAGAATCAAGAAGTATATTGAACTGGATAGAACAAGTATGCCAGTTGCCAGTAGTCAACTTGCTGCATTAGCAGCTGCCGCCACAGCATTACAAAATCAATCTTGACCTCTCAGTTTTTAATTGTTTAGTAATATTGATTGTATTGAAGGTATTTTTTTTTTTGGTTTTTAAGATAAAACCAAAACTTTCCATTACACAATACAAACAACTTTTGCATAAAACAATGAGTTTTGTAGTGTTTATTAAAAATGACTTTTTAAACATATATAATTAATCTTAACTCTAAAAAACAAACAAAAATATACAACATTAACAAAAGTTAAAAATAAATAAATTAATATGTCAAAAAAAAGCTATATTATAAGTTTCCAGCAACATATAGCTCTTTGAGTGTCTGGTGCTTTTCTGAAAAGTTGTATACCGTCTGATGTAACATATTTGTTAACTTGATAATCTAATAGAGTTTTATATCCAAATACGTTTGTTCCAAGTTGCTGTAATAATAAAATTTGATTGAATCATTTAGTGAAAATTATTTATAATTTTTCATTCAATATTACCTGTGTTAGAGGATTTGTATTTGTTGTAAATATGCCATCAAACTCTCTTGCTTTTCCAATCTTTAAATTTTCTTGTTCCATAAATGTTATTATTTCTACGTTAGTTGCTGCATCTAATAATTTATCTGTGCCCATCATAAAACTGTGAATTATGCGCCCCTTGCCTTTTGGTAATCTGTTATCTCTGTACAAAAAAAATTAATATTTTTAGGATGTGCATAAAAACTTACCTGAGTATTAATTAATCACCTTAAAGGACCTTCAAGAAATTCAAGGAATTCAAAAATTAACAATAAACGTCCATTGAAATCAATATCAGGTTCATCTAACATATCAAAATTCAACGATGCCCCTACCATTTGATTAGATTCTTTAGAATACACCGCAAAACTAAAATCATACAAAAGGTGCTATAATTATAACATTTAAACTTAATATACTTTGTTTAAATAGCTCACTTAAGATTAACTTGTTTATAAGAAAAGATTTAGAATGATATATAACTATAAATTACTATTTAGGGAATCTATACCTCAGTTTTTTTTCTACCAATGGTTCCCAAATCATTTCCAAAATATCTGTATAGTCACTATAAGGTACTGCAGGTTCAAGCCAGTGTTCTAAATCAGCTTTTTCATAAAAACTATCGGCTATTATTCTGAGAAAATTATTATGTAAAAGTACATTAATTTGTAGATGTAACCTATTTTGTTTAAATATCATACCTTATAACATCATTTTTATGTTTGGGCTCGAGTATTTGAACTAAATATTTTTCTTGCAGCCAGTCTTCACTACAACATGATAGTTCAGGTTTACCTGTGAACACCATTTTCTTGACAATTGTACCCAAGTCAGGAGCAATAATGAAATCACTAACATCTGTTGACATAGTATAGACTCTTTTATTTACATATTGTTTATAAAGAAGAGTAAAATTAAAATTTTTATCAAGAAAATTTGTTAAAAAAAAAAATTGTGAAAGTCTTCATTTGTTATTTGTATTTATTTTTTTTATGAAATTCTATCATTTTAAACAAGAAAAAACAATAAAATTGAAATGATCTAAGGTCTAAAATGACATTTTTCTATTAATTAATATTTTAATTTACCTTCAATATTCCATTTTTTTTTTATAAAAATGTTGATAAATTACATAAAAACTGGTAATAAGAAAAATGAATGGTCAAATTTATATTCTACTGATTTAATTAATGATATACAGTGCCTTAAAATCATTTTAAAATGTTCCATAAGTTACATCTATTATTTCAATTATAAATAAATAACTATCATCATTAATTATAATAACACAAATTCAATATACTATCACATTTGTTTTTCTTCTTGGATATTAGGAAACTATTTTATAATTATTCATCTAATAATAAAGAAGTATAATTACTTATTGAATATCCGAGATCAGCAAGTTTGCTTATAGTATAAATAGCATTTAGAGAGTTTCCACCTAAAGCAAAAAAATTTGCATTTGATGTTATATGTGATCGGAGTGAATTGCCCAATACATCAGATAAAGTTTCAAATAGACTTTTAGCTGTAGACATTTTAGTAGAACTTACACCGGAATAGTCTATTATAAGTTTATTGACTTTATTTGTACCTAAAATTATTCATAATATAAGAACTAAAAATAAACAAATGAATGAAATTTGTTTAATAATTTACTCGACATGTTTGAGTACATCCGTAGTAAGCTTTGCCTGTCGATTTTACCATTTATAAGATAAGGCATTGTATCTAAAGAAATAACCTACAATCAAATAATCGTATGTAAAAGATATTTTAATTTAATTTAATTTAATGAATTTATAATCTATGATTAAGCCCATACTTGTGGTAGAGCATAATCTGGTAATGCATGTCTCAGTTTTTCTTCAATTTGCATCGTAGAAGGGACATTTTTGTCTTTGTTAAAAACTACAAATGCTAACAATGCCTAAAATTATAAAATAATCTTTAAGAAAATGTTTTGTTATTTTAGATGACTATTTATTAAACATTTTTCAATAATGATTTTACTATCATTATTTATTTGAATAATATAATAATAAATACATTATTAAACCGATTATACTATTAATACATTATTATTATAATTATAGTATAACTATACTAATTTTTGTATAAATCAAAATTTTTATGGCGTTAAGCAGAAATTATGGTGAAAATTTTATACATCTTTTCAAGATATAATATAACTCATTAATATAATTATTTTTTTTTTATAAATATTATAGAATTTTTAACAATGATATTTTATTTTAGTCTTTAAGAACAAGTATTTTGCGACTAAAAATTTAGGAACCTGTTAGTATTAATAAATGTCTGAAGTGAAACAAAATGTTATTAATAAGCTAACCATCAACAGTTATTACCAACCATAAATGATCATAAGTTTATTTCAGAAAATTCTAAATCTCAGTTACTATATAATAAAATAATATTAAATATGGTAAAACAGCTATTTAGAGCTTTTGCTTTTTTAGCGAGTATAGAAAGGATTTTCGACTTACGGTCTTGTTCATACTAAACATACTAAGCGTTGAAATATATTAAATCTTATACCAATATTTAAATAAAGTTAAAATGATTGAATAAGTGCATTAAAAAATATATATTTTTTATATTTAAAAAGTTATATTTTTAAATTTAATAATTATTATTAATAAATACAACTAACTAATAAAATAAATATTTATGACATAGTTTTATAATATTACGCAGCAAAAGGAAATGACAATATGTTTTAAGACTGAATAATTCTTTTTAAGTATTTATTTGTTCATTATTTATGATTATTATTATTTATTTATTTATTATGTTAAAATGTAATATGTTACTTGTATTGTGTTTAATAACATTTTATTAAATTCAATAGGTAATTTTGTGTTAACAAGTAAATATTAAAAACATTTAATTATTAACTTTATTAATATTAACAGAAATATTAACTTAATTTACATAAATAATTATAAAAGACTTTTAACAAAGAACGTTTTTATAAAAATTTTTTTTACTTATTATTATTTATTATTTATTGTTTATTATTTTTTACAATGTTTTTTACTTGTATTGTAAATGTTTTAAACAAAACGTTTGTTTGATTAAGGTGTTTAAGAAAAAGTGTTTGAAACAACAACCCTATAAGCGATACATAATTATATAATAATAACACTTATTATTATGAATGTGTTTTGTGGATTTTAATATTGCTTGAAATGTTTACGGATGTATCCACGTTTTGGACTCTGTAACGAGTCCGGAAACATTAGCTCATAACTGAAAACATGAATTCATCCGCAAACATTTCAAGCAACACTTATATTATTTAATGCTAGGAAAAAATAATATTGGAATATTTGTAACTACATTTTTGTAATAGAATTAATGGGGTAAAAAGATGAGTGTAAATAAACAGGATAATTATAAATTCATTATTACTCTTATAATATTTTGCAGATATTATTTTGGATTGATAAATTATGTTTTTTAAGTAAATGTCTATTTTTGCTATTTAATTCTAAAACTAAAACTTAGACGTTCATTTTTTAAATGTATTTAAAATTACTCCATTTATTTACATATGTTCTAATTCGTGTGCATTTGAAATATTAAGTTCAAAAAATCTCATACTTGTTCAGTTTCACCCGGCTTATAGCACAGTACTGCTAATTTATCAATATCAGAATTGGGTAGTTTATGAATAGCGGATTCCACTTCCATTAGATCTACTCGATGTCCTCTGACTTTAATTTGGGAATCCGTTCTTCCTTCGTACAATAAAACACCGTTAACAATTTTACCAAAATCTCCAGTTTGATACATTTTATCCATACCTAGAAAAATTTTAAACTGAGATGATAAAAAGGTTAAGCTATGACGTAATACTAAAAATAATTTAATAGTTTTTCGATAATTTAAGACTGCACATTGATTTATAATAGATATTGTTAATTTTTACCTTTATTTTGAGAAAATTTGTTCTTGATAAAACGATGAGGATCACGATTATTGACATAGCCACTTGCCAAGTTAGCACCAGCTACAAAAAGTTCTCCGAGGGAACCTGGTGTTACAATCTGACCTTGACTGTCCAACAAGTATAATTCGGTGTTGTCAATTGGAACACCTGAAATTTTTTTTAAGAATGATTGAGTTGATCTTAAGTCTCTACGATGAATATTTTAGCCATACATTGTAATATGTAATATTTTAGTCATCCCTAGTACATGATTAATATTTAAATTAATGATTAATAGATATTCGTTTTTGTGTTTGTTAATTCTAGTCACTGTACATTAATTAAGATTTTAGTTTTAGGTTGACAGGGAGGGATCACTCTCTCCTTAGAACAAAAAAAGTTCCTATGGTACTGTATATACATATGATAAGTTTTCATGGAGTTCGGTGTCTCAAAAGTGGTCCAAACAAATCAAAGTCCCGATCCCTACTTATAAGGATGTGAAGGTTTTTTTCTAATGGCAACATACATATAAAATTAACTTAAAAAATATAAAATGATCTAATTGAGAAAATAACTGTTTGATAACAACTTTTGAACCATTAATTCAGAAGTTATTATCATTAAAAAAAAAAGACTGGATATAAGGCGCGGGTATGACATAATTAGACAATTCTCATTTACCCATTTCCTCTCGTTTAGTTATAAAAATGTTAATATCATCTAAAATACTGGTCTAAAAATTATTATCGACCAGTCATTTTTTTATTAGATAATTTTTATTTAAAATAAAGTTGATACCCTTGTAAGGTATAATGAATGAATTATAAATCTAATTAATTAGTAATAAATCTAGAAATACATAATACTCAAAAATACTAAAAATAATGTTCTTAAAATTTTGTTAAAAGAAATCCAGTTACTAGCGTTAAAAGAATCACTTATATAATGTTGTATAAAAATACATTTTTAATTATATATTAATATATCTCTCACCAATAGGTATTTTGTCTCCATAGCACAAGTCTTTATATGAATTTATAGCATAATATGTAGCATCTGCCATAATTTCTGTACTACCATAAAAATTACATAATGTATGTCCGGAAAAAGTGTCTAGGAACTGTTTGGCTAGGGATACTGGTAAAGGTTCGCCACTGCAAATCCATAATTTGAGTCGTGACAAAATACCTTGCTCGTTGTTCTGAAAAATTCATAGAAAAATTTGTACTTAAAATTCATCTGTGTATTTATTTCACAGCGAGGTTATACTTTTTAAACTGTATTAGAGTAGGAGATAGTATGTAAAAATAATAATTTTATATTTTGCCAACCAAAAAATAAAAATTCTCAAGATCAATTAAGTAAAATTATCAATCAAAATTTTTTAAAAAACACACTTTCTTTAAATTTTGTTTTGGAATTTAATTAAAATTAATCATGAATTTATTCGTCCATCTAATATATTTCGGAACTAGAAGTAGTATTATACATAATTATATGAGTGTTGCCAACAATGGTGCAATTAGAAATTTTGTATGGGGGTCCCCATAGCTTTTGTAACGTAAAATAGTGTATAGATTTACCCCTCGATTATACCTCGTACTATAATTTTTTGTCAATAGTGGAGTGGGGGTGGTTGACTATATTTAGAAAAATGCCTAACACGCATGGACTTCGAAGCTACACGTTTTAAGATGCTTACTTGATTTTCCATTGAAGAAAACTGGTTATTGTTGTTTGAAATTCCCAAATATAGCAAAATAGCATGCAAAAGAGATGGAACAAGTACTAATCGTTCAATCTAAATAGATGTTCGTTCATTAAAATTTCTATTTATTTAAATGAATTTCATCCGTTTGAAGTAAATTAATTATTACTTTGTGTTGATTCAATATGTTAATTAAACGTTCTGGATCTTTAGTCACTGATTTGGGTACTACTATTAAACATCTTGGAGAATCATGTAATAAAGGTGCCCAAATTTCAGCCACTGCGTCCACAAAAGTCAAAGAAGTTTTGAAAACGCACGCCTTTTCTGTTTCACTGAAAGGAAATCGATTCCATTGCCAGTTCAACCGATTGTAAATTACATAATGTGGAAGTCGTACACCTAATTTTTTAAACATGTCAATTTAATTTATTTTCAAATGATTTAAAATTTAAAATTATGTTTAAACACAGAGAATATTTTTGAGTGTGATTATTAGACCAACATAACATACATTTTTGCAAGTTTTTAATTAAAATTTGTTTTCATTTATTAAGAGTTAATGGTATCTAATATGTTTTTAGTACTAGATTTGCATATTCAAAACGCTGCTACATATTACACCTAAACCATAGTATACCTAACATGATAGTTGCTTAGTTTTTCAATTTTAGATCAATTTAACTTAAACGCAATAACCAAAAACAACTAAAAACGTTTTTCTATTTTAGTACTTTTAATTGATGTAACAAAACTTTAAAAATTATACAAATTTAAAATAAATATTATCTAAAGAATATTCATTTCAATTCCTCACTCCTTGGAATAATTAAGAACGCAACTGATTAAAGGACTTTATTTTATTTTTTTAACTTTTTAATAAACTATAACTGGTATTGCTATAATACTAGGTACAAATACTACACACTTTTTGGAATTCTAAATGTAATAACTACATTAGAGGAATAAATTATTTATTCCTCTATAAAAATATTTGTATATAATCATGAATATAAATGTTCACAGAATGTTAAGGATAAAAAAAAATGTTACTCTCTTTTTTTTGCTTTAGTTCCCTAAGTATTTTCGGTATTTTTACTAAATATCAAAATGTGAGTTTAACTATTAATATTAAGTTATGACCAATAATTTATTTATAATAACTTATTTCTAAAATTACTCATTTAAGTTTAGGTTAAATATAAAATACCACGTTGTTTAATTTATTAAAAGTGAATGAAGAACAGTACAGGTATGTCATTAATTATTTTTTAAAGACTTAAATAATCAACAATATTTACTATTTTGAATGCAAATTATTTCAATATTTTTGTTAGTATTATGTATGTCTTGCTATATTTTTATATTGTTATTTTGCCTATTCTTTAAATTAAAAATGGGTGTCTATTGTTTAATAATTGTGTTTCAATTAATTTCTTTATAAACTGTTATAATTGCTAGCCATGGGAGTTGCTTGATCGATTATTTGAAGGAGCTAGTTCCTTATTCGATTTTGTTATTTTGGATAATATATCTAACGAGGATTTTCTTTACCACATTGATTTATTTCTCTGTTTCTCGAAAATTTTAATTCATTTGTGAGGGTACGAAAGTTTCTATTGTGGCTTCAGTAAAGTCCCCATGCAAACTATGCTAATTTCACTAGTAAATTATTTGGATAAATGTTAAAAATTTACAACTGGATGTAAATATAATTTAATGTATTGAAAATTTGAAAAGTGGATAAAATCGTAAGTTTGTTATCAATGTGATATTGACTACCAAACGAAGTATTAATATGTTTGCAGACAAAACTATGAACATTTTAATGATACATTCTCTAATTGCATTAATTTAAGTTAAGCATACGCTAATACACCAAACCTCATGTACTATTTTATACCACGTTAACTGTTAAAAAGGTATAATTATACCGTGTTAATTATTTTACTATTAAAAGTAATGAAGAGGAACTAATATAGCGGTAAATATTTTCTCAAAAGGAAAACTTGATGCGTTTTGTTCGTAAAATTAATTAATGTTTGTTATTATTTTGAGCAAAATATTAAATTTCTCTGTTTAAATGAGTCACGGTTATCGCTATTAATTTTTTTCGAATTTTGTCACACTGTAAGTAAAATTATAATAATTACTTAATGCCTTAACCTAGATAATATTTTTCTAATAACTTATTAAAGTTAAAATTATGAAAATAGTTTCTGACATTGACATGTATAATTGTATTTGAAAAATGTATATTTTAGGCAGTTTTTTGTTATTTTCATGATGATATTTTATTTGTTGACAATAATTAGACAAAGCCAACGTATTAAGTTACGTTTATCATATACTTAATGTCAATTTAGATCCTCAATATCACTTTGATAATGTGGGTTTGTTACTTAATATTATTTATAGTGCCCTAATAATAAGCGTATTATAATAATTTAAATATTCGTCTTGTTGTATAAGAATAGTTGATTAGGGAGGAAGTATTATGTATAATAAGTACCTTTTGGTGTTCCCGTGCTACCGCTAGTATAAATAATAATAGCCGTCTTTTCAGATCGGTCGCCATTTAAGGTTTCTTCATCTTCTAAATTAGATGCTGAAAAAGTTGCTGAAAACTTTTTCAGCTGCTTGAGGCTGAACACATTATCACTAATTTTTTCAAATACTTCTGCTATAATATATAATTTTTAATTTCAATATAATATATTATATTTTAAAAATACGGTTAACTCACCATCCGGAGAGTGAGTAATAACTAGGCATGGTTTAGCTTCATCGAGAACATGGCTGATTCGGTGTTCAGGAGCCGTTGGGTCCACAGGGAGATAAGTTCCTCCGGATTTCCAAATGGCTAACAAAACAGCTAAGAGTCCATCGCTCGGTGGTAATTGAACAGCCACTACAAAATCGGCATCGCTATTTGCCGCTCCTGCCCGTGCCACAATACCTCTGGCCAGTTGGTTGGCTATAGCATTTAGTTCAGAACAGGATAGACGTACTGAAGGTTGTCCCATTTCTGAACATTAATTTTTCCATGTGTAATAATTTTCATTTAAGTGTAGACTAAAGAGATTGAAATGGGTCAGATTGAGGAACAAAAAAATTTTATCTATCAGATTAATTTAACGAGAAAGTATAATTTAATTATAATAATTTTCATATAAAAAAAAATTATTTTAATTCCGAAGATCATTATATTTTTTTAATTTTTAACCTCATGAGAATATATTTCATTCAAATAAAGAAAATAGTGTAATAAATTATTTATTTTTGTACGAACCTTTAAACAAATCTTATAAGGCATAAATGGATGAAGATCTGCTGTCTTACTCATTATTTGGATAGGTTTCCATTTGCCATCAGATTATAAATTATTTTTAACATGATTAATTGATAATAATTTATTTTGACTATACCAAATAATTGAAATCGAATTTTTTTTAAATTTAATTTGACTTGGTTTAAAGAAGATTTGGAATTTTTTTCCAAGAATTTCCCCTTAATTCGGGCGAATGAATGTTATAATCAGCCTGAATTAATATATATTAATTTAAAATTTTTAAGATCTTTTTATTTGCCTTCATTTTTTTTTATTAAATAATGTTTAACATGTTGCAATAAAAACATTGAGTATACCTTCATAAATGACGGCCAAATGGTCTTCGTAGTTTTTTTCATTTTTTTCAAATAATCTATGAAGTTTTATTTTTTTATTTACTGGAACAGAAGGTCCTTGCAAAACTGACGTGACTGGGTATATCTCCATAATGATACTTTCTAAAAATAAATTATTCATTATTTTTAGTATTTAATGATATTTACTAATTTCACTATTTTTTCGTTGAAATTATAAAACTTTCAGCTATATAGTTTTTTCTCATTTTAAATTTGTACGTTTTAACGAAAAAAAATGGCTAATGAATAGAATTTAGTCAGGTCCCCATTTAAACCACAATTTTAAATTTTTTACTTGGGGTTAGGAACTTGTATTTTAAACATCAACATAACACGATCTCCCAATACATATACACATATAATTACATTCAAATATCTATCCTACCTTCCATAACCGTTCTTACAGTATCCGATTTTTCTCTCATAATATAACAAAACCATATGAGACTATTTCCTCTCATCTTATCATGATCGACGCTACTTTTATGCTTCTTCTAACATATTCATACGTTATCTTAACTTCTTTCGTTACTTTACTTATTCATCTAAATATTCTTATCTTTGTTACACTATACTACTATAAGTTGTATGCAATAGAAGAAAGCGTGCACTTTTATCCCAATTCACTCTATTTGTTAAAAATTTCCAACACATGTGCATGGAAATTCGGTCCTTTTTTTAAGAGTAAAAGTATTTTTTTTTGTTGAATTTAATGGCTAGAAATAATTTTTTAATAAAGAATTGTTTTATAATCTGTAGAAATTGTTTATTTTTAATTATAATTAATACAATGTAGTGTATTAAGTTTAAAATTTTAATTAGTGAAATGTGTCATAAATATTGTTGACAGCACAACCGTCCTACTGTTTTTAATTACGTCACATTAGCAACTAGGACGGTCGCCTTTAGACCTTTCTGCATAGTGTTTTGGGGTTCTTACTAACTTCAGGATATACCAAGAAATCTAAAGATTTTATTACCTTGTAAACTCTAAATGATTAAACTTTATCAACGTGAATTTTTTTTGTCACTGTATTGACTATACACGTATAAATTATTTAGATATGTAATTACTAAAATTATTACAAATTTTGTTATTCTTCGAATATTTTCAAATTATACATATAATTACGATAATTTTTTTGGCGGACTTTAAATTAATATTAATATTTGTATTTTAGACATTACTTAATTACATTAATAAAAAAAAAAAATTTTTATTTAAATTTTTGCAATTCATCTTTCTTTATTCTTTATTTCAAACAAATAACTTAAGACATTTTAGAAAAAGGCCGATTAATGAAGTATAAATATGAACTTAAGTAAGGATTTTGGAGTATACTAAATTCAGTGAAAGTCCATACGTTGACTCCGAATGTCCTTAGATCTTACGGTTGAATAGCAAGTACCTTCATATTATCCTAACCTATCTATAAACAAAAGTGTGCGGTTGAGCGCATGGCATACATTCAATAACTAACACATTAAACTTGTATAAACATAAACTGTGGTATTATGAAACACGCAATTGCCTTGAACTGCGAAAACTATCTCATTGTGCATGGCCCTCTCCTCGCGCAAACAATTAAACTGACTTGAGTCATTGGCTTCTATCGTGTAGAGATCATAAAAATAAACAGTTGTTGATTAAGTATTATTTGATTATGATGATCGTTAAATCTGATGCAAAAAATTCGGGAAAGGTCAGAAACCTCAAGGCTAGTCAACATAGTTATTGTTATTAATCAAAAATTAATTAAATCTCACTAATTAATACGTATTATTTTGTATTATTATTATGTCTTCTAAAAATAAATTGTAATTTGTAAATTTAAAAATATCTGTGTGATATTGTGACAATTGCCTAATACCATTATTTGACAATAATGGTTATAATACTAGACAGCAGTCTAGACAAATATATTCTTCAACAGAAGAATATATATTTGGTAATAAGATGTGTTTACATATATATATGTATATTTTTCACTGTATTTGGGTGGGGTGTAAAAAAATTTGTCTTAAAATCAATTATTTAAATTAATAAACCCGTTAAATTTATGTAATAAAATAGGTTAACTAATACAGTGTCCTTTCCAAGTCCTTGTTACAATAAACAGTAATAAATGACAAGCTAATATTTATTAGCATTAACGACAGTTAAGTGACAATAACAATTCAATGTTTTGATCAAAAGTATTCAACTGTACATTCATAAATCACAGAAAATTATTTAAGAGAGATGATTTTTTAATTTTTCATTTCATTCTTATAAACAATATAAAATTCAGTAATCGATTTGTTTACAAAATATAACTTAATGACAAGATGTTCCATGATCTTTTAATGTTTAAGTATTCTGGGAATCAAAACTACATGGTGTTTAGTCAGTAAAGAAAAGTGTTAATATTATTCCTATAGATTGTAACAATTAACCTGTTTCTTTACTTTTTGAAAATTCTATATAAAATATAGTGTGTTTGTCATATTATGATGAATTAATTATTTGCTGTGTTTAATAACTGTATCATATTTATTTAGTTGAAAATAATTTATCCGTAGTAAATGCACATAAATAATACTTCGATAATAGTCGCCTTAATTCCAAAACATGGAAATGAGATTTTTGAAGGTTTTTTCTAAAATCCATATTTACAATATTGAACACATATTTTATACGTTTTTAAGTAAAAATTCTTTAATTTTAATTGAGATAATGCATTATAAATAATATAATTCTATTGTTAAGTATTTGAAATTATATATTTTTTTCTTACTCTTAAAAATACCAAAAAATCGAGGACAAAATTTATTGATTATTAACTATTTATACGCAGTTAATTTAAATAATACATATGCATAATACTTAGAAGCGATGTTTTAACATAATCTCTCATAAAAATTTTTGTCTATTTTATTTGAAGCAAAAGTCCAACATTTAAGTATAGGTATATCACATTTCATACATGGTAATAACAAGTTTTTAAATAAAAAATATTATTTTCAAATTTTGTTCAATAGTATCTAGAAAAAACATTTTAATAATACTAAAATTAACTAGTCTTCACTGTAAAATTATTTTGAAAGTATTTCCCGTACTTGGTTTTAATTTTTATTTTACATAGTAAAACTGAAAAAATAAATGGTATGGTTTTGTGGGCAACGCGGCAGTACTACTGTAAAAAGCGATTACGAGCGGCTTCATTTTTTGAGGGAGAGAAAAGACGAGATGCTCGATGTATAAACGGTTAAGAAACTTGCCTTCTGAAAGAGTCAGTAGTGACTTTTAATAATGGGCGGTAAAAGCGAAGAAAAAAAAATTGAATGAAACGTTTTATATTTTCACGTTAATTATAACAAGTATAGTAACTTATTTTTCATTAATAGATTATAACAAACAATTCTGAGAATTATAAATAGGATTTTAATTATTAACAATTATTAACAATTGTTAATATATTTTATGCTACATTTTCTAAATAAGTATCAACATTTTATAATGTCGTTTTCTAAGTTATTATAAAATTCTCTAGAATAAATAAGATAATCTTATTACAATAAATGGATGATATATAAATTATCATGAAATGTCGAATCAATTTAATAAAAAACAACCTTGATTGTTAATACTTTAAAAATGAATGCATTACAATTAAAAAACGTACATCAAATTTTTCAATACCTAAAAGAAATATAAGCAACAAAACTAATTTTTTGATATTACAATAATAATATTGTCGTATATTTGAACATGAAGCTATTTTTATTAAAAATTCGTTAATTTTGCTAACAAAATTTTATATCCAAACAAAATTACCAGTAAATTTAATAATTTAATTAAAATTTAAGTTTATCACAAAAATAACGTAAAACTCAAATTTTAAAAAAGATCAGTTTATTCAATAAATACTATTGAACAAATTGATCTTTTTTACAATAGCACTTAAAATTTAAAATTTATTAAACTGTATTATTAATTTAAAGTTCTTAAAATGCGCAACAAAGCGCTGGTACAGTATTTATTATGATTTACAAAAATCAGTATTTTGTGACTTAAATTGGATTTTAAATTAAGTTTTTAAAGTATGTTGAAAATAAACTTGATAAAATATAAAGAGCCATAAAAAAATACCAGTAATATTTTTAACTTAAAATAAAACAATGATCTGTTTTTCTTCTAATATAGTGTATTTTATGAAACTTAATATTCATTAAACTTCTAATTTCTTTAAGCAGCATGGAGTTTTTATTTATGTGATTTTTGCTGATTTCAATGAAAACTACTTTCCAGTAGCAATTTTCGAATATTAAACTTGTTAAACCAAATTATAACTAAGCATTGAATTCAAGGTGTTATAACAGATTCTTACTACTCATTCGGTCATGGAACTTTTTTCTCGGTAAAAATCTAGTTTCTTTTTTTTGTTCATTTGGTGTTTCAAGTTTTATAATTATTAAAAATGTAATAACATTTTTTTTGTTTTCAATTATTGTACTATAGCATATTGAATAATATTATCTGTTTATTTAAACAGTTAAACAGTTAATATAGTTTATTACTTGTTTTTCATTTGATACAAAAATTAATAATAATGAGGATATTTAGAATGATAACAATTAGTTATTATTATTTTGTTGATAATTGGTAAAATATTAGCATTATATTTAAATCCATATATTGGATTTCATTTATTTTTTATTTCTCCATATTTATTAAAATTAACTAAACTCCAATTACGTTTTATAAATAACTTAATTAAATCACAAATGAAGTTGTAATAGAACTGGCCAAATTAAACTTTAAAATTATTTGCCAATATGTATTTAACAAAATAAAGTTTTACTTTTTAAATTATTAAAATTTTTGTGAGCATTAAAATTTTAAAGAAGTTAGTATTTAGTCAATTGATTTAATTTAAAGCATTTGGCGATTTTTTAAATTATACAGTAATATAAAAAAAATATAGCTACAACTTGTGGATATGGATAAAAAAAAACATGTAATTAACTACTTAGCTTTGGAGCGAAGTTAAAATATAGCCATAAATGAACGCAGAAAACATTTTTTTCAATAAAATCAATTATCATTTAGTAATTTATCTTTAGCATTAAAAAATATTTTTTTGGATGTTCTTTTACAATTTTTTTTAACTTACTGTGCGTATGTATCTTGATATATTTGATGTAATTTTTCTTACATACACTGATAAAGATGTCGTTAATTCAAAAGTATTGTTTAAGAAAATTGAAAATTGCGTGAATTGAATAAAGGTTTGAGTAAAATTTAGATAAAATATAAATTAGCGAGCACCACAAACGTTAGTATACCAATGGATGAATGATTGATTCTTAATGACCTTTTTATACGGTCCCCACTGATTTCTTTACTGAACATCATATATGCATGTAATTTTGACGACAATTAGAAGCACCAAGGGCTTTTTGCGGAGGAACTTCTATCCACTTTCATCTAATAACTCCGACCGCTGGATATTAAATTAATTGGCCAGAACTTAGTTTGAATCGTCCCCTGTTGGGTTTCTGTACATATTCTTGATTTTTATTACATTTTTTTATAAATTTAGAATAATATTGTGATTACTTAATTCAACACAAATATACAGCTGATTGTTGAAATTTATTAGCAAGCCTAGTAAAATTTTCTTAGGTCTTAAAGAAAATCATTTTTTTATATCCCATCTACTAATTAGTGGTTTCTTTATTTTTCTTCAATACCAGACATTTATCAAAATGACTTAACGTTATTGTTAAAGGTTTTATTTTGAATATTACTGTAATATAAAATGTGCCATATAATTGTATAGCAAAAACGTAACTACAATATAAATGAATATACTATAATTAAATTATAATATCAAATTTTATAAAAATAATAAGATGAAAAATAAATAAATATAATATTATAATAATAAAAATCCACCAATTATTTATTGCATGAAATAATATTATAACAAAATTGTTAGAAATGAAAAGTTTCTATGACATTTAAAAACCATTAAAATAAACATATTTTAATTTTAATGTTACAAGAGTGGAGAATCTAGGGATCTCGGGCCTATGTCCCTCTATCGACAGCAATATTTATTTCTAAAATGAAGCTATGAGCAAAAAAAGTCCAAAATATGGATTTTATTACTATGTCTCTACTATTAAGAAATTCTTGCTACGCCACTACGATACAATAACTCACAATTTTCGACAGTATAATACATGTAGTTTTCAATTTGAAGTTATTGTTTAAACTTGTGATCATTAATGCAGTCATGGTGGATATTTTTAAGTCCAATGAGTGCACAATTAATTGTTTTTATATTTAATTACCCATCAACTCAGAAACTTAATTTTTATATGAAAGAGGATAGAATAAAATTTAAATTAATACTATAAAAATCTATTTTTCAATTTTAATTAAAATAATATTCTAAAAAAGTAAAGCTTACATTATCCTTATGTACCTTAAATCATTTTACATAAAAAATCCTACTGGGAATTCATGAATTAATTTCTTAAGCTCTCTTTTGTGATCATATATTACGAACAATTAAAATCGCATTACTAAAATTAGAGTAATAAATAATAAATAAATAAATCTCAAAACAATTTAATCGTTTGAAAAAATTAAAACTACCTTCCTGATTTTTAAGGAAATCCATTCTTGAGTTTTACTTCACGAATCAAACTTCAAATTTCAACGTCAAGGTTTTCTATAGTTTGCTATAAATAAAATAATACAATGGCACACCCATATGAGTTCTCATAGTGAAAGGTTAGAAAAATCGAGTAATCTAAAATAACTTCCTAGTTGTGATTAATCAAAATAAAAGTGTTAGATTGTAAGCCAACAAATTTTGAGATTGTATTACTGATTTTTTGTACTAATTGTTGGCTTAATGGTATAAATAATATTGAAATTTAAACTTGTAAATTTAATTTAAAATCTAAAATGTAGGATGTCTAGTACATTTATGATACTTGAATAAAACCATTGAAAATATATTGTACTGTATATTGAAAACTTTTGAAAAAAATGATTTATATCTAACTTTATAGAAATTTAAAATGTTAATTGATGTATTTTTTTTAAAAGCTAATATGTTATTTCCAGATAGGCAAAATTGATTATTTAATTTTAATGGTAATTAATGCAAAACAATATTTGTGAAGTGCATAAAACAAACCTTTTTGATAAAATTGGCTTTACATTTTCTAGTACAAAATAGAGAATTTCCCTTTTTTATACATATCACAATAAAAACTTAAAATTTTATTTTCATATCATATTTTTTTTTTAAGAAATGACCGTCACAATAATTTGAATGAATTAAAATTTTATCTAATTATTGACTTGTATCTTTTGAACTTTAATAATTTTAACTTTTTGATTTAGTTTCATTTTCTAATCTTCATTTTTTATATCAAATGTAATTTTAATGTGCTTTGTACTATTGTCAGTTTTCTCATTAAAAAATTTCTTTAGAGAGCTCATCACATCTTTTGCAAATGGCATATAAACTAACAGCATGGTGAATTTAAATCATAGTAAACAAATATTGATTTTTTTGAGTTTTTTTCAGCTTTGAGTCACTTGTGATCAATGCATAAAAGTATTATCCAAATAATTTGAATTTAGAGATGTCAATTTTTTTTCAAACCGAAGTTTAGCCAGACTTTAGTTTTTAACTAAACTGGTTCTAGTCTGATTTATAGTGAGTCCAATATAATTCAGATTTGCAGTCCATAGATTTTCATTAAAATCATATACAGTAATAATACACTTATTGCGCTGATTTTATAGTCGTTCACATTTCTTATTCAATTCTTCCATTTTGTTGGGTTGGGTTAGATTTTTTGTATAATACATCTAGTTAACAGCTTTCTTGTATCAGCATTTTTTTTCTGTACTATGATTATAACTTAAGGGGGTATTCTAGTCTAGGTGCATTAATTTCAGGTAATTTTTGAAGTGTCATAAAAAAAAGCAATTAATAATTTTACCGTACATTTTTTTATTAGTTATTTATTAACATTACAGGAATACGGAAAAAAATAAAAAGAGCTAAAAATTAAAAAAATTAACAGTTGATGAAGTGGGGGTCTTAAAAAATTGGCACGTGACCATATCCACGATTTCAACCCTCCTAGCAATCTGAAACTCAAAAAAAAAAAATAAGATTATTAATCTAGAATAGTCTTGTAATGTCTGGAACTACGGGAAAGTTGGAAAAAAATTTTTTCATGAAATGGCGACTGTTTAAAGTTTTTCGTAGTCTAAGTTATGAAATGATATTTTAGACTTACATTTATTCAATCTGCCAAAATGACATATTCTTGAATAGTCAAACTTTGAAAGTATATATAAAAAAAAAAAATCGATATTTTTAAATTTCTAGACTAGAATATCCCCTTTATCTCTTAACTTTTTTAACAAATTGATTTTCTTCTATTTATAAAAATGTCAAGTTTACTAGTAAAGACAAAGAATAACTTGGNAAAATGTCAAGTTTACTAGTAAAGACAAAGAATAACTTGGTTTTTAAAAAATAAATAGACTGAAAATGTGAAAAATTGTCTTTTAGTAAAAGAACATATTTAGCTCTTCCAAATAATTTTATGTTTGCTTCATACAAGTCAACATGAATTAGGTTCAATTTCATGTTCAGTTATTTTCGACTTCAATGAATGGGGGGTAATTCAATGTTGTTTTTCATAAATATATCCAGCACAAACATAATAATTTTAGTCATCAATAATTGATTATTATTATGAATAATTATTATTTGAAATGAAAAATAAATTGATTTTTTAACACAATTATTAAAATTAAATTTTTATTTTGATTAATCAATGTTTATGAATTTTTCATGTTTGAAGCGTATATTTAATCTTAAAAATTTAATTGAATTACATTCTTATAATTATATCTCTGTTATTAACTATTTACAATTACATATTATATTTTTTAATTATTTAATAAGTATTGAATATTTTATTTTATAATATTTATCTCGCTCTATATCCTATTTTACTAAGCCCCTCACGTAAGCAACCTCTGGAACAATTTTACGGTTTTTCGCCCGTTAAAATTCCCGTTNAACATTATATCCAACTATCACAAAAACCTCTTATCACACAATTTATTATATAGTATTCTATTCTTCTAGTTCATATCAACACATCCTAGGAAACAATGCAACTCAATTTTTTTTATCGTTGAACAAGTTTTAAATTAATTATATTTGATTTTTTTTGTTTGACGAAAAAATAAAAATAAATTAATTAAAAAAAAAATGAGCTCATTTTTTCTCCTAAGAAGTGTTGATATATCAAAAAAAAAAAATGTTGTAAACATTTTGCTTCAAAAATGTTCTAAATATATAAGAAATAATAATTTGAAATATATAAAATGTATAGAAAACAATTGTTTTTACTAACCATAGGTAGAATGAAATAAAAGTTTTATCTGAGCTGGTAAAAAATTCCTATATATTTGAGGATTTTTAAGGACTTATTTAGTCAGAAAATCGTTACCCATTTATCGAATCCGTTTTTATTCTGAAGGACTACATTATTTTAGGGGTAGTTCGGATGTTACCCAGGTTGTTTTAGTTCGATCGAAGATTAATATCCTGGTGCATGTAGATGTTACTTTATTAAGAAAGAATAAGGAAGATAATAATGAAAATCGAGAAATCACTAAATAAATAAAATATGAAGACTGCTGAGAAGGTAGAATTATTGAAAAAAAAAAAAAAGAGTACATAATAGTCAGCCGGAAAAAAGGGAATCAAGAAGAAGTCATGGAAATGCATGAATACAGTTTTGATATTCATTTAGTTTTACAAAGAAAATTCGCACATTATTTTTTCTATTATTTTTTATGAGATTTAGTTTTTTTTTTCTTATACTCATTGTTTATTCTTAACCTATATTCTCTTAACCTCTCGTTGTTTCATGGATAGTACTTTTTTATTTTCTTCTTTTGGGTCTTGTAATGTTTTTAACATTGCTTTATCCCTTTCTCCTGTAACCTTTTTACATTAATCATTAAACCAAGGATTTTTCACTCTCTGTAGTTCATGACCCAGTATTTATACTGCTATCCATTTTATTGATTGTTATACTTTTTCTTATAATTCACTTGCATTTGTTTTATATTCCAAATTTGATAGGTATTCATTTGTTCCCGAAAGACTTTTTATCTTTTGCTTAGTTTTTATTCAGTAGCTCTTTGTTATTTTTTCTTGACACTCTGTTTCTTTTGTTATCCTATTAAATACTTAAATTTAGTCTTTGTCTTTACCAGAAAGTGATCAGAAACCAACTACAACCTCTTATATTTCTCACATCTTCCTTCTTACTTAATTTTATTTGCCAGTCTACGTTTATATAATCTATTTAGTTTTTTATACTCCTAAAAGGTGATATCCAAGTTTGTTTATGAATGTTTTTGTATGGAAACGTCATAATAATTATGACCATGTTCTTTGCTGCTGTAAAAGTGATCAATTTGTTTCCATTTTCATTTGATTCTCCACGCGACGGTTATTTCCAATAATTGGTTTGTATACCAATTCTCTTCCGATTTCCTATTGAAGTTTCCAATAATAATTTTTGTCTTCCCAACGATAATCCATCATACACTCGATCCAGCTTATCATAAACGGTATTTTTTACTTGTTCACTTTTATCTTCTGTAGGTGCGTAACAATTAACTATTATAATATTAAACCATTTGCATTCAAACTCCATAGAACATTACTTATTGATACAATATTGACAAAATTTCGTAGGCATTTGTCCTTGATAACAAAGCCTACTCATAAAAATTTATTTTACTAATTTGCAACACAAAAAATGAATGATTAATTTTTAATCAGCTTCTTAGAAATGACACAGAGATTAAAAATGCAGCCACATAATAATTTTATAATATTTTTTTTTAGATATTTTTAAACTTAGATATTTTTTACATTAAATAATATATGTGTGATGTATCAAAAAAAAGTATGTATAAATGGTATTTATTTCAATATGCTTCAATATATTAAAAAGTTCATATTGCATTTCATTTAATATAGTTTTAATTTTGAATAATATTAGCCATAAATGGTTAATTTTTTTTATATTACATTTTATGTTTATAATATATAAATGTTAACTTCTTTTGAGTAGTTTGTAATGTTTACTTTGTGTAATACAATTTTGAACAAAAATTAACTCTAATTATTATTATAAACATGATCTTTACGAAATTTATGATATTTTATTATGAATTTTCAATGTTTTTAATTTGATATTACTTACAAAAACAGAAATTTTCCATAAACTTCTCAAACGAAATAAGGAGTTGTTAAATATTTCTTTGTAACTTATTTTATTCTTACGCATTTACCAATTATTGAACCCCTTTAGAAGTAGGCCTATAGTTCAATTTTGTTGAGAACTTTTTAATATGTTAATGTTTTAAATTACGTATATAATACAATGTAATTGTGATTTAAAATTATCATTAAAATAATAACATTCATAAATTTTATTTTATAAAATATAAAGACATAACTCAAAATAAGTCTTTTTTGGTCGAGATATATAATTTTAAACGACATTCCCTCATTCGTCGGGAAGCCTATTAATATACATTTTTGTTTTACTTGATTTAAAATTTGTTTAATTGAGAGAAATATATACTATTTTGATCAAGAATAATGAAGCAATCTATCTATCAGGAAATGAAGAACAAAATATTAAATAATTAAGTTTTTATAAACACATTATGAGAGGTATCAGTATGTATTTAACGCTGATGATAGTAACATTATTCACGAAATACGTAATTGCTATTTTATAGTAACTTTGTAGCTATTTGAGTTAAATAATATATATACATATTGAGTTTTAAATTATTATTCTGAATGTATATTTTTTTAATTTTTCAAAAAAAAAATTTTACAAAAAATTATTATTAAATATTTGGCGAATAACTTTTAAAAATGGTTTGCATATATTTGAGTTTAAATATATTGTGAATAAATATTACCAAAACGTATATTGGAAAATCACTAAAAAAATTTGTATAGTGATCGTTTTCAAAATTATTATATCAAATATATGTGAGGTAAATATTTTTAAAAAATTATATTAAATATTTCTTATAATATTTGATAAAACATGTTTTTGTAATATTTTTATTATATTATTTAAGAAATATTTGGAGATTAAACATTTTAAAATTGTAAGCAATTTTTGTGATTTCTAAAATGTTTGAAAATCTATATTTTTTTCAATTGTTCTATGAGAACTTATTTTATTATAGTTCTGGTACCTATCATATTTTAATAAGAAAATTATTCATACCATGTTTTTAATGAAAATAGTTATAAAACATTTTTTAATTATTTTTTAACAGAACATCCATCATCTTGAATAAATTTGCAGCACGTTGAACAATGTAACAGTTTTTTCATGAATTTATATTTTAAAAATTGAGACAGTTTAATCAGCTGTCTATACATAACCCTTGTTCCAGCCCTTGAGTAACAGAAAAAAATGTCATTTTAAGCATATAGTATACATTTTTCAAAACTATTTTACATCACTTATTTAGTTAAATATAACCAGATCTCATACCTTTTAAATTTATAATATAAATAATTATAACTGCAGATGATTCATATGAAAAGTCATATGTTGTGTAATATTACAGTCCTGATTTTTTATCAAGTTGTAGGTTTGAAGCAATTTTTTCATTTTGTTCCCGTATAAAACGAAAACCTTGTTCTGAAAACTATAATTTAATAATTATTAATTTTTACATGAATAATTAAGTTAAAAAATTATTATAAAGAACCATGGTTAGGGATTTTCAAACATTTTATAATGTCATATGAGATACAAAACGTTTGAAATATTTATCGTAAAAAGAAATATTAAAAAAAAGTACAAATAATTATATTATTAAAGAATTGAATACTTTTATTTATAAGTTTTATAAATAAAACAATAAAAAGAAAAGTTTTTAATAAATACATAACATAAACAGTTTATAATTATGGAAAATATGTTTATTATTATTTTAATTTTAGGTAAAAGGTATATTAAAAGCTTATTTTTAAATATATTTATAATATTTCGATGACCATTAGATTTCTTTTAAAATAATAAGAATTTTTATTTTGGCTCATTTAAGTAAAATAAGTGTACTTACTTAATTTTTTTAAAATGATACATATATTTTTGACTTGAAAGTCATAAAATTATCTAACTAAGAACTTTTAACTAAATCACAACTTTTTTCCTAATATTTCAAAATTTATGAATATTTTTACACCTAGATAAGAGGGAGAACTGCGGCGAAGTGAAATGAAATGATAATAACATAACTTGTATATCGTCTCGAGTTTAAATTTAAAAATTTTAATGAGTGAGTGAAATCATTAAAATGGAATAATGCACGATTGATTTTCTTGAAAAACTATTCTTTGGCAATAATATTTAGACGAGTAATTCAAAGGTTATTGTTTTTTTAAGTAGATAGAGAATAAAACATAAGTTTTATAATTGACTTTTTGCATTTTCTAAATACTTTACTTATTTTAAATCATTTCTTAAATATTAATTTTACTTAAAAGTATTAGTTGATAAAGCGATAATAAAAAGTGTTACTTATAGTTAATTTATCATCAAAAAAATATCATATTTTATAGATTGAAAACTATTACACAAACTTGAAAATTTTTATCTGTTTTAAGTATAAGATACCTAGAGGCTGCAACACTCCTACTCTAGTTTTTCGCTAACTTATTTTATATAATTGTTGGTAATGCGTCCTTAACACAAAGTTAAATCAATAATTATTATTATAATTTCCTAAACGTTTTTTTTTTTAATGGTACTTCCGTGAAGTGTAAAAATCAAATTTCTTCCTTGAGAATTTCAAACGCCTTCAATGATTTTTGATTTTAATTCCAAATATTAAATACATTTCATTTAGTGTAATTGTTATATATGCATTAAATGTATTATTGTATAAAAATATAAATAGTGTGAGGGAAAAATATTGTATTACTAATATTATTATTATATTATTTATCTGTAAAAATAAAAATTATTGGGAAAACTAAAAGTAGTGGCCTCTCAAATTTTTTTTACCTATTTCCTCTTATATAAAAACTTAAAAAAAAATGTCCAGATTTTCTTATACATGCACTGGAAGTTGTTAATGCATATAATGTAAAGGAAAATGTTGATAAATAGTAATAAAAATGTAATGTTTTTGTATGTATTTTTGATACTTTATAACAAAATTACACTACTTATGTAGTCATTCTTACGGTGTATTTCCTTTAGTAAAGGAAACTCTTTGAAACTCTTAAACTCTTTGAGTGAGTGAAACAAAATAATTTTTTTTTATAACACCTTAGGCATTTCTCTTTTATCATTTTATTTTATGAAAATCTGACTTTTTATCTGGGATTCAAAATAGCGTATTTGCACTAAAAGGTAAGTTTTTTTTAGCTAAACTTTTGAAAATGTTTTCGAAATATGATACATTTATATATATATATCTTTAGTTATAGCTTATTAAATAAACTTTATTAAAAAAAAAAAACCATTATTGTTAAATAGTAAAGCTAAAAAATTATGCTGAGAATTAGGCTAGAAAAGTTTGATAACGTGTATATCGACGTGTATTTACTGCAAAAAAGAGTTAAATATATTTCTGTCGTTTTAGGAGAGCATTTCGAAAGTTATAGATTTATTTTTAATTAATTTATTTATTTTTGATTTAATGACTAAAATATTTATATTTTACTTTTTAACCTTTTATACTATAAATTCTAATAGGAAGTTAGAAAATACAATTATAAAATTAACTCATTTTCGTCAAAAAATTTTTGTCTTTATTCAACCGATTAAAAAAAATTTAATTAATTTTTTCATATTTAATGAAAAACAAAAATGACAAAAATAGTAATAACAACAACAAAAACAACGATAAAAACAAAACGAAAATATTAACAAAAATGAAAAACAGGGATAATTATAAAAACTAAACAATCACAACAACAAAAATTACAAAAACAAATATGAAAAAATCTATGTTGTTAGTATAACTCCAACCTTGGACCTGTAACTATCGCTCCGGAAAAGAACTATGAAAAGTTAAATATACATACACACACACACATATATATATATATATAATTTATTACTGATGATATTCTTAATAGTTAAGACATGATTTTATCATAAATTAACATTTTAATAATTTTTGATATAATGTATAAAGTGATTTTTTCATTTATTTTTTATTAATTTATCAAGAATCACTTTGTCGTAATATGCACAATGTTCTGCATTACGCATCTTACATTATCAATAAAAAATTACTACTCTATATTTACTACCAATTGTATACAACACAAATAATTAATTTATCTGTCATAACATATACACATTTGTACAATAGCTATTATACATGTATATACATGTTAAATTGATTATTGTATACTATGAATCTTATCTTAAAAATAATTATCATTTTATGTTCAAATTTTACACAATAAACTGAAAATCACTAAAAGTGCTGACGGCAACAACCCATGATGGGAGTAATTAAAAGTAATATAAAAAGGCGCTGATTTTCTAAGAGAGCGGAATTCTCTCTGCCTTTTGAAGACCTGAGAATTCAATAAGGAATTCAGAATTCTTCTATTTTGATTTTGAACAAACTAGCCGCGACCCCGTGTTGTCGTCAGTACATTTTAAAGCGATATTGAATACAATTATTTTGCGTTAACACTTTATTTATTTAAAAGAGATAGTATACATATTTACGCAAACCTTGACGATCTTTGTACAAGCCAAATAAAAAGTAAGTAAATTTATATTAACCCAATTATTTAGAATTAATAATCTGAGTAAAGAATGATAAAGCAATAGATCACATATTTATATTCAAACTTTATTAATTGTTACTGACTAGTTCGTACCTTATACATAATCACATTACATGGTATTCGTGAGATGGCCACCGCCTCTTCGTTGCCTAAAAGAGTTTAAAACCTAATGTGATTTCTACTGTATATATAAACACTTCGACTGGGTATTCGTGAGATGGCCACCGCCTCTTCGTTGCCTCAGTGTATTATTTCAGGTACTTACCAGTACACATCTACTTGTCTTTATTGTTCTAAACCCTCGGACTCTACAACCCCGATAGAACCTCGTTGCTCCTGAATTGACCAAATCCCTAACATCCAACCTTGGTCAAATAAAATTCCCCATTCACCGTTTTTGCTTATTTTTTGTATTACTACAACTTAATTAATCAAAAATTAAAATTAATATTTATAATATATTTATTAGTTTCTATAGTTAAAATTTTTTCTTAAAATTTTAGTCATGAAGTTTTTGTAATGTTTATTTTTTTTACCTTATAAGGGTAAAATGAAATATTTATCATACAAAATTATTTTTATGAGTAGATTTTAAGGATAATTTCAAAGGGAACCTATTATTTTTTTTTACTGTTAAATATAGTGCATTTGATAAAATTAAAATGAAAATAAATTCCATGAAAACTATAACAAAGCTTAAAAAATAAAATGCATTCAAATAAAAATCTTAAGATATAAATAAACAATACAGGATTACAACAGGTCCGAAAATGCTGCTACCTTGGAAATATAGCTATGATATGACAAATCTACACCAATCAAAAGAAGAATAGCATTGACAAAACAAAAATCAGCTATTCATCAATAAACATATGAATACTTGCATACGTAAAAGAATCGTTAAAACATTTGTCTGGACTGTGCTCTCATATGGCAGTGAAACATAGACAATTGACAAAAAAAGACAGAAGCATTAGACTTATGGATATGAAGAAAAATGATAAAAACAAAATGGATAGATAAGAATAGTAATGAGTAAGTACTAGAAGAAGTACGAGAAGATAGGCAGCTGATAAAAGTGATGGAATAAAAAAAAATAAAGTTAATCTGACACATCATCCGATACAATGACTTTATAATCAACATCATCGAAGGAAAAATAACTGGAAGAAACCAAAAGGATTCCCAAGGACACAATATTTTGAACATATCCTGGAACTCATGAACTGTGCATCTTTTGTTTTACTGAAGAATTTGGCGTCAAATAGAGAGGAGTTGCTTCAAACGACAAGCCATTGCCTTTACTGGATGATAATGAAGATTAAATAAAGTCTGGTATAGATCAAAAGATATAGAAATAGATCGACTGATTAATAACCAAATTTTCATTATAATTATTTGATATATTAGCATTTGAAGATTTAGAAAAGGTTATATAAGAGGTAAACGCTCAGATAAGAATTCTCTACATTGCGCATTTACTTGCCTATGCTAAACATTATAATAACAGATAATTTTTATCAGCAAGGTTTGCAGTGAGATCACGTCACAATGAGGGCGTGGCATAATTGGGACAATTATAGACGATATCTGATAGGTATTAAAATCACTATCGTAAAAAACATTTAATTCAAATTTGTAGATACTGGTTAGTTTTTAGAAGGAACTATTGAATTATTCCAAAAGTAACATGACTCTTAACTTCTTTATTTATATCCTGATTAAAAGTTGTATGATTTATTAGTTTAATACATGAGTAAATGTCTATTACAGTAATAAAATTTAGTATGAAATTGATAACAAATATTTGAGTACTGTAAATTTTTCGGAGAAATTATAAAAAATTACAAAATTAAATTCATATGGTTGTTATATACAGAGTGGTTTTTTATTAGTCACTCGTTTTATTTTGCACAAATGACATATGGATAAAATGAAATATTTTTAATTTTCTTAAATTATAGATATTTGCAATAAAAGCAGTAATTTGAGAGAACATTTATAAAACATGTAAAAATAAACAAATTCGATTGAACTGTTAGTACCATAACCATTAATTTTTGATACCATGAGATACAAAATTAATTTTTGAAGTAGGAGTATTTGGTGTTTTTATAATTTATAACATATTCAAGAAAACTTTGCAAAAAAAAAAATATTTACTATGCAAAATGTGAATATTTAAAATATTTTTGGATCAAATTTGATTTGTTTGGGGCTGAGTATGAATCTTATGTAATAATAAATATATAAAATAATTTTTAAACTTGGGTATTTGATTTAAAAATGTATTATATTATAATATAATAATTCATTACTTTTATTACGATTCGTTATTTTAGATTTATGTATAAAAAATTAACTTTCTTAATTTGATTATTGTGACCATTGTTTGTTAATTATTATTTCAGTCATGAAATTAATATTTTAATTTATCATAAGTTATTTGAAGATAGTAAATTTTATTTTGAAATTAGTAGACAATACACTTATTGGATCCTTATATCCAATATACTTATTGGATTGATATTAAAAGACGCTTTTAACATTTTTTTAAACTATTCAGTTTTATAAAAAAAAAGTCAATCCACCTATGTACATATTGTTTTCATATTTTTGTATACATTCATAATTAATAATTTTATTAGCCTAGTTAATTAAGTACAACTAGTATGAATTAAGATGACCTCTAACCCAATTAAATTTATCATATTGAAACAAGTACACTTTTTAAAATACAATGCATTCAATTAATTATATATTGACATTAGCTTTATACAAATTATATTATAAATGACATAATCTAATAAAGCCGATTGTCAAGTGTTTTAGTTTCGTTATTAAAAAAAGGAAGTTTTAAATTTAACGTATAATGTTCTACCAGTGGAAATTAAATTCATATAATTACTATTTTGAAATCTTTTATAAATTTGTATTTAGTTAAAGGAATCAGCGCTATAGTTGGAAATATTTACTGTCATTTCTCGTAGTTAATGTCTCTAAAAATTACTATTGTTATAAAACAGCCGATATTTAATTATTTATTTTTCACATTGTAATAATTATTATAGTATAATTTTAAGTCTATATTTATTAAAAATGTAATTGAAATGAAATTAAACAAATTATTGGTATCATTATCAACTCATGAATCAATGATATAATGAATTCATAATTACTGACAATTAATTGTATAAAAATTTATACTCATATTTTTAATAATATTAATGTAAGAAATTTTGATATTAATGTTCTTTTTTTTCCTAGACGATTTTTATTCCTTTCTTATAAAAATATTAAATTTACGTGCTGAAGAATTCAACATTCAACATTAAACTTTTAATTTTTATTTTTGTATACTTTTTGTGATTTATTGGTTTTTTTATTATTGAATGATAAAGATTATGTAAAGTAATTTACATATTTTGTAGGTCGGATTAAAATTACCGAGAAACCACATAAAAGTATAGTTAAAATATTTTAATGCAGAGGAAAATTAAACTTTAAATAAGATTTATCGGAAATCTTACTATTCAATACAAATAAACACACCTACTTTAGAAATCAAATAAAATTGGAATACTAAACACATGTGTCAATTTTGCAAATTTTGAGACTGAAAATATTATTAAGTCAATAATTACATTTTACTCAAAACATTTTTTTAAAATAAACTGTATGTATAATATACATTGTATATATTCAATAATTTTTACGAATACACCATAACCATATCAAAAAAATGGTTTAAATAAAATTTTAAATACTTTTGAATATTTTTTTATAGTAATATTATTGTACATGTTTTTTTAACATTCTTCATAGAACAGTAAATCATAGAGTCGTTTAGTTATTTTATTCAGATATTTCTAATCTTAATTTTACCTATACGTTTTTGTGAAAAAAATCATAATATAACGAAATATGGGTAGGAACTTGTATACTTATCTAATCACACTGTATTTAAGAAATATCTGACTATTACCTTTCTAATTTCTAAGCTTCCAGGATGATAAAAAAAAAAATTTAATTATACACTTTTTAATACAATAGGTAATTTTATTATCATAACTATCGATAAAACCATGAGTCTTCTAAAAAAATGTTCTGAAAAACTAGTATCATTATTGATAAAAATCTCATTTTGTAAAAAAAATTATGATCCATACTGTTACAGTTAAAATGACGATATATTTATTGTCATACACCCAGAGAAAAACCTCGATCTATATAATAAATTCATTGTTCAATTTGATAAATATATCATTACTATTGAATCAATGATATATTTATCAATATGATATTTTTTTTTCTTGTCTTGAACAATAATTATTTATAAGAATAGTTATTTTGTTCGTATTAATAAAACATTATCATAAACCCTTGATAAAATTTCTCTTTCAATTTTGATTGAGGTTTTTCTTTGGGTGTAGAGTGGTTAACTCTTAGACATATTTTGGGTAAGGTTAAATGGTACATAAAAAAATTACAAAAAAAAATAGTGGTACATTGATAAAAAAAAAGTTAATAACCTTTCCCCAACCCATTAAATATGCGAAATACAAATTTGTATTTGATTCATATTTAACATAAAACAAATGTTGAATATTTTGTAGTTTTTAAATAAGATTACTATGAAGAAAATACTAGTTTATTTGGGGGTAATTGACTGATTAATTCAATTTCATAGGCTTATACGTTAACCTTGATATATCGGTCACACAACTTATTTTAATATACATAAAAATAGTTATGAGGCATAATTGAAAAAAGTGAAAAACATCCAAATTTAACAGTTCTTCTTATGGAGTTATGTTCTTTGAAATGAGTATTTTTTTTGTAATTAAATAAGACGTGAAATTATATCTATTTTACAGCATCAACCATAACCACTACAATTGTATGAAAAAACATTATCTTTTTGTAGTTACAAAAATATTTTACACGAATTTTTTTTTTTTACAGATTTCCTGCTAAAATATTTTAGTTGGCCTTGATATTATTTTTTTACATTGTCCAAAAATAATTTTGATGAAAATTAATTCTATATTTTGATTTCGACACATCGTATGACCTTCTAAAAGTTTGATATAACCATTGATACTACCATTTCTAATATTGACTTGTGCATATCACTTAAAAGAAACAATTTAATGTTTAGCAAAAATATTACCTTCAATAAAATCATTCTTTAATTCATTGTTATAAATACTTCACAAATAGTTATTTATATTCTAAGTTATAAAAATTTATTTTCTTAGCTAATTTAAAAGTAGGTAATTTTAAACAGCTGAATGTTAACCATTCAAGTCATTTAATTCAATTTTTTTTACATTTAAACATTTTAAAAATTAATTGATAATGTTGAGTAATCTTTTATATTCTAAAGTAGAGATTTAAACAGAGAATAAGTTGAGATTAAACGTTTTTTTCTAAACAAAATCTATTAATAGAAGTTAAAGTCCATTAATATTTCTTACAATTTAGTCAATTAACTGAATTATTAACTTAATCATTAGTTATTTTAGTTTAATTAAAAAATAACGAAACCCAATTAAATTTTGTTATTGCCGAAGAGAGTTTTTGATAAAAAAGTATACTGAATGAAAGATTTTTTAACTATTTAATCAAAGTATACACTTCAAAAACATGAACAATTTTGTAACTTATCGCAAAGTTTAGAAAAATATATAAAATTAGTTGAATATTCAATTATGATAATATGAAGAGAAATATTAATAATAATATAAAAATAAAATTTAAATTTAATTTACTTTATTTAGTATATTTCATGATTTATACACTGAATAATCACCAAATATTTTAATTTATCACACGTAAATAGGCGTAGAATAATCAATTTTATTTTTAGGTTGCGGCTAAATTAATATCTCCATTAAAAGTATTTTCTATATAACAATGCATATAGTTTTGCTAATCTTCTGGGAAACTTGTAAACTAGGGGGCTATGCTCCCAAGTCCTGTAACTCAGTCCCTGATGATGTCTTGTACTAATAACTTAATGTATAATGTAATTTAACAAAGGGGTTTTCATAATTTTAAAAGAAAATTAGAAATGAAATTTAAAAATGTTTTAAACAAAGTCTGTTCCTAATACAGTATTGAATTCGACAATCAGGAAACAAATAGATATTGCCATCGTAAAAGTATATGAAAATAATTATCCCAAGGCTTGGCAAAGGTTTTGATTTGTTAAATTAAAATAAAAGTTAAATGATTCTTTTATGGATAATGCAATATAGGATATTCCTATAAAAATAGTATAATTACTTTACGTGTACATTCATTGTACGCTCAAGGGTATTAGTAGTTTGTTCAATCATAACACGCAAATTAATTAATTGTTCTCTCATTTAGCATTTCAATAACAATATAGTAAAATAGCATTTGGGAATATTGCCCTTGTTATTATAAGCGTTAAAGTAAAATAGAAGAGTTGTGTAAATTGACAAATGACTGATTATGTTAATTTTGTACAAGGATATATGATTTATGTGAGTATTACTTAGCCTTTTGTTTTGTTATGTAGGCACTATTTTTTTATATTATGTTAACTTTTAATTATTGAACATTGTCCAAATAGGAATTGAAAAAGTTATGTTAACTATTATTTTGTCATTCAGATTAAGTTTTACTACCTAGAAATACATAGAGAAAAAACTTGTTTCAAAGTGAAAAAGCTCACATTATTATCTTATTACATGAAAATTAATTTTCTATATATAGAAATTAAATATTATGAAGTGAAGCTATCTTAAAAAAAATAAGAGTTAATGAGAGATTTATAACTTTTTTTATCATTTAATTAATAATAAAAATATTATACTATTTTTTAATTAAAAGCTCGATGATAAGAAAAATCTGTTACAGTCGAGACATGATACACTGTGAATTTAATATAAGGAGAGCTATTATAGGTTTAAATTTGATAGTTATTAAAATTACTATTATAAAACGCTTCGATGAGCTTAATGAAAGTTTGATTATTTTGATCTTTTTTATTTGATTATATTCAGAATAAATTGAATTTGTAATTTATCATAAATTATTGCTAGTTATAATATGTTTTTCGGAAGGTGGAGACCGCTAAAGACTTATTTTATTATGCTTATTGTATGGAATCTAATATATAAAAACTCTCTTTAAAAGTATTTATAACATATTTGCTTATCTTTTTTTGATGAGTTGATGAATTTAAAAAATTGGGTAGTGCAGGGGCTGGATATAATAAGCCCCCTTTCCTCTATGTCTTTACAATTTGGTCTAAAGTATAAGCACTAATAATTGAAAAAACCCAGCACAGGGGGGTCGCGGCACAGTGGTGACGTGGTATAAACGGATCAAGTATAATGATATCTGACAGTGATTAAAATCACTATCAAAAAAAACGCTTCGATGCAAATCTTTAGATACTGTTTAATTTTAAAAAATTGGTGGACTATTCTAAAAGCTACATGATCTGCTAGTTTATTATTAATATCCTAATTAAGATAAAGTATGTAGAATGAAAAAGGGATTATTAAAAAATATTATTTCTCATAAAAAAATAATGTTGATCCATACACTTTTCAATATGTCATAGCATTATAAAGTTAAAAATGTAAAAAATAAAATCGAGAATTTTCACACAATAATAGCATTCGGTAGCCATTTTCACCGTGAAGATAAAATAAAGTCCGAAATTTTTTTTTCGCATAATAAAGTAAATTACATTAGCTTTAATTTAA